AATGAAAGAAAAAAATAGTTGTTTGAGCTTTGGAGGTGTCGTCACAGACATAATAGAGAGGATGGTCTATTTTAGGAGGCGGTAATTACAAGGTGAAACGACCATTTCGCAATTAAAAGTTAAAATTGGTATTATGGCCATGTTAATCCCACTTATTATTGCTCTGCACCTAATTATTATCACCACTTTTTTTTTTTTAATTAACCGCGCGAACGCAGGCTTCCGCGGCAACAAATTATGACGTAGGCTTAACCACTTTGATCGACCTTAAGCGGGCACCCCTCCAAAGTGCAATAAAAGTCACCAACCTAGGCCATGAGTCTTATTGATCACCCATTGACCCCGTCCAGGTAAGTTATCACCACTTTTTTGTTTTTGCCATGTGCCACATTTGGTTTTCACTTTAATTATGGTAATATTAATGGGGGCCATTTACTTGGAGTAGTAAGGGTGAAATTGAAAAAGAAAATTATTTTCTTTGTTTTCTTAAGTAACAAATGTTCTAAAGCAAATTCTTTACAGAACATCCTGGACAAAAGAAAGGTACATAATGGCTTTTAAGTTGATAACTATCGTTTTAGCAAGTCCATCAGCAACTTGATTACCTTCTCTATGAGAGTTTCTCACAATTAAAATGGTAAACTTATAAACAATCCTAAAAGAAAATGGCAGCTCGGTGCACAATGCATCCCACGTTCATGCAAGTCCGAGGAAACACTGCACCCCAGGGGTGTGATGTAGACATCCTAGCTTGATGCATGCATTAGTAGTTGCTTCCACGGTTAAAACTCATGACCTATAGGTCACACGGAAACAACTTTACCGTTGCTCCAAGACTCCCCTTCATATAAACAATCCTATAGTATCTCTAAAATTTAATGACTGTTTCACCATCTTTAATGCATATATAAAGCAAGTGTTAAAAGTTGATTATTTTGCAGTTATGGAGAAAGGATAAAAATGAAAATCTGTTATTATAAGCAAACCAAAGGAAATCTTTAACCTACTTTAGGGTGTTTAAGTTCCATATCCAGAAGCTATATATGTTCAAATGTTAAAGGAGAATTTGTAAAGATTCACCGCTTAGACAGAGAATTTACAAGTCCATAGCACGTCAAGTAAAACTCACTCTCTCATCCAAGTGGAAGAAAATAAGAGTTCCATCATTTGTCTTTCAAATGTTAACTGAAAACTTACATCATCTTGACTCGTTTACAGTTTGAAACAGAGCTCCGAATCCCTCTGCCTGTCACGGAATATTGAGCAGATGCTGATCGAACAGAAGGCGACTTGTCAATGTATGCATACCTTTCATTACCGTTCCAGTATAAAATCACCCGGTTAGTGCAAGCATGCGACCAGCTATCTCCTGTTCGGCAAGACATATTAAGAAGCAAAAATGGACAACGATCAATACTATAAGTTCACCATCTTTGTTTTCCCAAACTTTTGAAACAGAACATTTTTTCTCTGGGAATGTGGTGGGACGGGGGCGAAAATTAGCAGGAGGCAGACATGTTTGGTACCAAGATATATCTTAAAAAAGCTTGGTATTTACCTAATGCAAGAGTTAATTGATATGACCCTTCGATATACTTGGTGGTTACTTGATTCAAGAGGACAACCTACACAAAGAATTGATGTTAATGACATGATACAATCGCAAATAAAACTAACTGATTATGTACCGAAAGATAATCACTTGGAAAGGAAGTTATCCTTACTGCCAAAGTATATTTCTTTGCAAGCTTCGTCAACTTTAAGGCCATTCCACCGAGTAGTCGGGTTCTAAGGGCCATGTCATCAAAATCTTGACGGAAATGGAATGTAATGCTATCAATAATAACAACCTTAACCTAATAAAAAAAAAGTTTCAGAAATTATATGTTTTAGTTGTGAAGAAGGATATTAAAAAGAAAGAATTTCTCTACATACATCTTTATGCTCTGAAATGAACTTATCCAAGTAATTTACAACAGCAATTTGCTCCGTGTAACTACAAACACGAAAATAGAATATGTTCTCAAGGAAATCCTCTGGCTTCCTGTTAAGTTGACAAGCCTGTAAATCCTTCTTTAAAAAACCATGATATTCTTGCATGTCTTCCAGACAAGCTTCAGCAATTTGTAAAGCGCGCTCCACCATGAAGCTGCCTTCCGTATCTGAAAATTGCATATACAGCCAGGTACTTGGCTGAATATAGAAAGAGAATAGCTATAATACGCGGACAATAAACAACTCTGTTAGCATGTACCTATATATATTGCCTTGCCTTGAAGACCACCATAATCCATGGGAATTTGAACGTTTACTGCAAGTTGTATCCTGCATTTTGAAGTCTCTTAACCAATAGAAACAAGAAGTTATTTCTAATACGCAGGAAGTACACGTGACAACGATTACCCAAGTTGTGTTTTACCAATTCCTGGCACCCCACCTGCAACAATCAGAAGATAATTTATCTTAAAGTTGATGATAACTGCAAACACATTGTTTTAGAAACGCCAATAAGCAAGAGTGGACGCCTGTATGATATTATTGGAAATATGCAAACATATCTAAATGTTATAACACTAACCAATTTCAGTAACCTCTTTGCAACTTATTCCCCCACCCAAAATGTCATCCAACTCGGAACAAGATGTTGTGATACGTCCAAGTGATTCCTCCTCGTTTAGCATATCCCAGGCAGTTTGCGCTCCTAATAAAAAGAATCCATACATAAATTCCTTCCTCTTTGCAAAATAATCAAAGCAGAACAATGAAACGATGCTACTGTCAACAAGTCAATAATAAAAGACTATCTCACAAAACCAAACTTAATCACTTGAAATAATGACTCCATAATCTTTGTAAAAAATATTCAAAATATAATCTACATGACTGCTGACAGACAACCAATCAAGTTTTCATAGAATAGTGTTAACAATATACCATTAACGATGGAGCTAGTTCCATTAGATCTTTCAGATCCCTTCCTTTGTGATGCAACTCTCAAAATTCCAATCGCCTCATTTTCTGATATCTTTAGATCTATAACAGAAAAAGTTATAAAGATATGAAATGTTTGCATAGGCAAAAGAACATTATGTAGGAATAACATTAGTGTCACTTGTTAAATAAAACTTAAAACTGTTATAACTCATCATCAAACTTGATCATAAACTAGAACTGAGATAAAATGGGAAGCCACACGAAATTAAGCATTTTATTTGTAGCACCAAGCTTATTCTTTTTCCGCAGATTCCGAATCCTCAAAATATTGGTTTCCCTTACGTCTATCTTTAGTTAACCCAGGGGCATATGTAGTGTTAACGTTATGGGTTCATCTGAACCAGGGGCGAAGCTATGTGTGGTTAAGGGTGGTCAACTGACCACCCTTCACAAAAAAATTATTTCCCCGAAAAATTATATTGTGTATAGGGTAAATATTGTACTTGTTATTGATAAGAAAATAAACTTTGAACACCCTTGCATAACCCACCGACAAAAGGTGCTCAAAATTTCTTGGCTTCACCTGAACCTCAACAACTTTGATTCAAACCCTGTATATGTGTTAAAAGTTTCACTAAATAAGCACAAATAATATTTAGTACAAATAATAGATTTCTAAACCAGTAAATCAAATGCGCTATAGTAAAATTCCTAAACTCGAACCCACAAAGTTCAATCTGAGTTAACCTCTCCCACTGAAATAGAGTTGCATATTTCCAACAAAATATTTCTCCTGTAAGTCATTCAACCATCATACAACTTTGAGCTCATAATCAGAATTCGGCGCCTTGAAACCGGCAATTAAATATAATTTAATTCAACTTGGAAAAAAGAATTCCTATAAATTGTAAAAAAAAAAAAAAAATCAATTAAACGCGCCTTTAACTGATTGCTAATAACTAATTCACTGAAACATTTAGAACTTCAGAAATGACAAACTAAACAAGTAAAGGATTTAGTTTTTCAATCAAATTGCATAAATAAAAGATACCGCGAGCAAGGTCGGAGTAGGAGACGGAAAAGAGCGAAGAAAGAGAAGTGTAGCCGGCGGAGATCAGCTTTGCTCTCTGCGATGCCGATATCGGAAGACTTGACACTTCCATTTGAGGGTTTTCGCGCTCAAAGTTGGTACCAATTTGGTATTTATATATCCTGTACTGTTCTTCTAAATGATTATTTTTTTCTTTTCTTCTAATAAATGAATTGAGTATCCTCATTTCACCACAAAAAAAAAAAAAAAAAATTGGCTTAATTGTTCTATTTTATTTTTATTTTTTATTGTTAAAGTTATTGTTATGCAATAAGGTGTTTATTTGATTTGACCAAAGTTTTTGCGCTTTTATAGCTTACAAAATATTTGTCGCAAATCAAAAGCTCTAACTTTCTGTCAATATAATTTTTATTATTCGGTTTTCCGTATAAAAATAATTTTTATGTATATTTATTTATTTGACCAAAAATTTTGCGCTTTTATAGCTTACAAAATATTTGTCGCAAATCTAGTGTGTACGCAGATCTTACCCCTACCCTAAGGTAGAGAGGCTGTTTCCAAATAGAAACCCTGCATCATTCCCTCCAAGAACTTCTCACCTTACTCTTGGAGAAACTCAAACTCACAACCTCTCGGTTGGAAGTGGGGGTTGCTTACCATCAGAGCAACCCCTCTTGTGTGCCATGAGCGTGTGAAAGATATATTATCAAATTCAGCACCTCTATCAATGCATATCTACTTATTCATATAATCATTTTAAGCACTTAGAGATAACCCAAAGAGGTAGTATAAACGTATACTTATGTGTGATTTACCAATGTTGCTCCTTTTTTTTTATTGTTGACGAAGATAAGTAAACAGAACCAAGAGATAAACTACCTCATCTATACTTAGCAGTATCAGAATTTCTAAACTTTGATCCATAAAGTACAACTTAGAATATTGTGAGAAAATGCAGGTGCAATGAAACATAATACAGCTTCTTTAAATTTAACCAAAAGAAACATATTCACTATTAATCGGAAGAAACTAATGTTATCTCATTACGAATAGTAACTCACAGCATCGTCGTGCATAAAACATATCTTTAAAACATAACTATACAGTATGGCAAAAGTTTATACAGTAAATCAGTAAATCTCAGTTGCCATGATGACTTCTAACACAGTTGCAAAATGCTAACAACCACATCTAGCACCAAGAGATACCGAGGGGAGACATTTTAATCTCTCATAATACAGAGTTTTTCCTCAGAGGATCATTGCTCTTGAATTATGGTTCTTCAAGTATTTTCTCTCACCAACTTTCAAGAATGATTACACATTCAAATCTTGATTCAACGCAAACCACCTTAATTGTGGTCTCAGTGTCTTCAAAAAGAATATGTCCATGATTGTGGATACCCGTTGCAGAGAAGTCTCGAGTAATTTTAAATTGCAGATTGTGACTCTTGCTTAACAGAAGCCTTAATGAGAGAGGTAAGTGATGGATGAATCCGTGCTGTTCTCATTGAGCGAGCTTCACTTTTTCCTTCAGCATACTCCTCGCCAAGCGGCCACCTTGGGCGCAAATCAAGCTGATCAAAGGAGCCATTGGTCAAAATTAAACATTGTAAGGAGAACGGAGTGGGGAGGGTGTAGGGGGGAGGGGAAAAGGAATTAGAACAATAGAAACTCCATAAAGCAGATCTGAGGGGTTTCAAATTTGGTGTTTTATTTCAAATTTTGACTGAATACTCTGGATGATATTTGACAAGCGTAACTTCCAAGATGCAAATTTATTGGCTGAATACGCAGATCAACTTAAACTATAGGACAACACGGCCAGTTTGAGCGGAGGTAAGGGAAAAAGACAAGGCAAGAATAAGACAAACCACGACATCTTCTGGTTCGTTTGCAGGAGGTGGAGGATCAAATCTGCCAAGACGGAAATGTTCAATGCCAGTCCAAGCAATCATTACACCTATTAGAACAGGCCAATGAATTAGAGTGCAATACCAAGCCATGTGCATTTTTGAGCTAAAATAGTTCAAGAAAAACCAACCAACCTAGAGGCTCCACATATCAATTTACTTGACTCAACGAGAGACAAGACCTTTCCTCTAAAGCATTTAAACTTATACAAAAAAAGGAACCAAAGTCTCTCGATGAAAATGAGGCAAATCTAAGAAAAGAGAATTGTCTAACCATTATCAGTACAAAGGCTTGGAGGGGGGCATACAAGTTTCAGGCCTTTCCTCTTCACAACCTCATCAAGCCGAGATCTGACATATTTATTAGAAGCAACACCTCCAGACACTACCTGTGAAAGGTAAACTGAACGATTAGCATAGTTGACATTAATCTTATAGGTGCATGCAATTAATACATTAGAGTAACGAGAAAAGAAATTAGTCATATGAAACTGCAGTAAACAGAGGACACTGACCAAATGATTTATTGAAGGCTCAATGTTCAAAGCCCACTCAATTGCCCGTTCACACTTTTCCTCCAAATGTAATACTGCAACTCGCTGCGTGAAACATTCATTGCAAATGCAACTAGATTAAGAATTTAAAGGAGGTATAGGAGACTGATTGATTTGGTAGCCAACAATTCTTAATTAGAAAGCAATCACGACAGATATAAAAGGTATATACCTGGAAGGAGGCAGCAATATCTGCCCGAGCCTGCCTTTCTTCATCGGAAGCTGAAGCAAGAGAGATTTCAGCATTGCTGCATACAAGCTACAAAATGTGAATAGCTAGGAAGTCGAGGACAATGACAAGCAACTGATGTACATTGTTTTCTGAGTGACTCATTACACCTTACAATCATAAGTGATAAGACAAAGCTATAACCTACTGTACTTTCTGGACCATGATTTATATGAAGACTAAACTAAGGTGACATTGTAGAAAGAGGAAGAAACAAGAGAAGATTCTTTAATCCTTTCAAGAATTTCTGCTTTGATGGGACCCGGGGGTTTGGTCCAGTGGTCAGAGCGCAGCAAGTGTGGGTTAGGCATACGTCACGGGTTTGAACCATGTCGCAGACAAAAGCTTGGTATTTAAGTGGAGAAGGGTAGAGGAGAGGGCTCATTATTCATGGAGTTTCAAACAGTGTGCCACTGGCCCTCGGGGATTTCTCGGTTATCAAAACCATTTTCTGCTTTGAGGCAGACAGTTTGTCCATATATTGGATAATTCATTGTTTACCTCATTGAAAATGAAAAAATCAAATTCTATAATAGGAAAAGAACAAAAACAACTCAGTGACAAGGGTGGTAAAGTTTTAAGATGAAATGAAATGGAAAATACTTCGAAAAGCTGATCAATAACTTTTTGTTTCTTAATGACATACATTCTTTTTGCTTCAATTGCCAACCTCACTTGCGTCTTCAGACCAGCATATGAGAAGTTGCAATCCTTGTGTTGTTTCATAGGGACCTAACATTAATTCAAACATTTAGTTAGTTGAGCAAACAATATCACAACTAAAAATCTTTTTATAGAGAAAACTGTGGAGACATATTGCATAAGTGCAAATCTCCCTAAAAGTAACTTACTTTAAATTTGACAGATTTGGCATCTCCTTCTCGAGCTAGCTCCTCCACAGCGGGGCCCCCACTCCTCCTCAAATCAAGACCAAGCCATTTTGCTGTTTTGTCATATGCCTCGCCAATTGCATCATCAACTGTTGTCCCAAGTTGTATATAATGGCCAAGATCACGTGCAAGGATTAGAAGGTTATGCCCTCCTAAAGAGCATATGACAAGAAAATTCATTAGTTATTGATATCTAATTCACAGAAAAATACAACTGGTCAAATTGCTTTTACACTAGGAAAACTACATTTTTATGCTGTTGATCGAGACATGTATCCAATATTTAGCATAATTGGCTTAAAGGTTAAATTCAATTTTCTTAACTTAAGATAAGTTGGGTTCCCTAGGAAAAGACATGAAACAAAAAGCACACACGGATATTATACATAATATGTTAGAACTGAACCATTGAGAAGACATTTATATGAGAGACTTTCGTCTTACAGGATACAATCGAAGGGCTCATAAATATAACACTAAATATCATGAGCATCAGGACAAGCATATGAAAAATCTGTAGGCACAAGTTAAACTGCAAAACATCCTAGATCTTTTATATTCAAGTGATGTTCACTAACATAGATAGAACCATACGATGGCCGTACAACTAGAACTAGGGTAATATTGTATAACTTGGCCATACATCTCTAAACACAAGAAAAGATAACCAGTATATTTTCAGTAACAACAACAACAACAACACCAAACCCAGTGAAATCCCACAAATGGGGTCTGGGGAGGGTAGTGTGTACGCAGACCTAATCCCACAGTATATTTTCAGTAAGAGTGAATAAAACAGACGTATAAAATTGTAAAAGGTTATCTAACCTGAGACAAGTAGGGCCATGAAAGGAAACTGCAACTCTCTTTCCACTAGCCTAAAAAAGAGAAAACATTATTTCCGGGTGGATTACAGTACATTGTATTTGCAAATGTATTGAAGCATAAGACAGGCAGCCTTCCAAGACAATCGAGCACAGGTACGAAGGAAAAGCATTAACACAAAGGAGAAAATTCATCTTACAAGAGTATTCCAGCCAAAGTTTTTTTTTCTTTATTTTATTGTTATTATTTCTTAGCAGTAAGGCGGACAAAGTAATCGAAAGCTAGGAAATTCACAGTCCAGTAACTAACCCTTGAATTGGACAAATTCCCAACAAATTTTAGCTGTATGCACTGGTCCTAGTCTACTGCTTGCTACTAGCATGAATAATTTAACCTTATTCCATAGTGCTACCTGGCAACCAGAGTATGAGCTTCCATGTGATGGACACCGACAAGAGGTAAATTATGAGAACCAGCAACTTTTCTTGCTTTCTGCACACCAACTACACAGAAATTGCACAAATAAGATACAAGGACTTATACAACGTTCACTAGTCGTCACAAAATGCATCTATGTATCTCCATATGAATATCCCCCGATGTTTAATTTTCAGATTCATTAGTGGAAGTTAATTTTGACAAACAATAAAGAATTAAGAACAATATTTTATGCTAAACAAAATAGGCACATTAATTGTTGTGGGAAGGAAGGAAAAGGAAAAAGATAAAAATAAAAAGCAATGATCAACCCTCCCAAAAAAAAATTTAAAAAAAAAAAGAGAGAAAGAAAGAAAGGCTACTAAAGAAAAAGATTGAATAAAAACTTACCCCGCAGACAAAGGCTTAAACCAGGACCAATGGTGACAGCAACTGCAGTTAGATCCTTTTCAGTCAGATTAGCTTTATCTAGCGCTTCTTGTACCACCTGAAGGAATTACGTATCACATTGTTTGCAGGAAACATGTGCCAGAAATATGATGTGTCAATTCAGATTAAGAAGCTATCAAACTTAGAAGTGCGAGAGCTGTGGTAAATAATAGAAGCCGGAATTGTACAAAATTTGGGGGTGAGTCCTTCAAAACAACATCCACCGTGCTCCTAACACGACAATCATTGGCATGTCTCAAACTCCAAAACCGAAATGGAATTTGAAAATTTTTCTAGCATAGAACCATAGTCTATATAATCATAATTATAATTTAAGAGTATCCATTAACTATAGCCTAAAAGATATAGACCATCAATCAATTGATTCGTTCTAACCAACCGTTTACAAGTTCTTGAAACAAAGTACTTCAGGGTTGACAGGATGTACCTGATCAATCACCAGTGCATGTGCTTCCTCTGCCATCTTAGGAGCAACTCCTCCATATCGAGCAAGTAGTTCTGCCTTGATGAAATACAGAACCTCAAGATTAGAAAAAAGATTGTGTAATGTGGCAAACACAAGTAAATATAATTTGGATAACTTCTCGTAGTTAAAATTCTTTAGAGCACTGAGCAATTCCCTGAGCAATTGACATGAAGACAGAACAGTGGTGTGAACGCATATAAAATTATACAGTATAAGAATATAAAGGAAGCTACTTGGTGTCGCTCCAGTTATTATCTTGACTACTTTGCAATGCATAGGAATGCATCACCCCAAATAACATTGACATTTGGCACACTGGCCGAATTTTTGGCTTTTCAGACGTATTATTAACCAAAACACATTGGCATATCTTTTATTTCCTTTCTTTGGTCTTCCACCCCCTTAATTCAATTAGATAGAAAGTATTCTCCATATTTCCATAAGGAAGGATGCTTAAATATCCTAATCTTTGATATACTACTTTTTTGCTATTGATTTGCCTTTTATGTATACTATGTTGCAAGAGCTTCCCACACTTCAACAAAAGCACTAGATACTTTATAGAGAACTATTTGAGCCCTTTATATGTATAAATAGGAAAGCGAATAGAAACGCTGCACGCCGGCAGTCAATGTGGAACATGACCTGTTTAATTCTAGACAGACCCTAATGTCCAACTATTTACATAATGATGCAAAAACAAATGAATATATACATAAATAAACCACAACTAAAACAATGTAATACAAACAACACATGAAGTGTCAAATAAATTATCATGGAATAGCCACTAATATAACAAAACATGATGATGTTATAGTATAAACCAAATGGTAATTCTCCAGACTTTCTGTAACTATACAAATAGTCAAATACAAAGAGAGTACCTGAGAAGAGATAACTTGGCTGAGAATTTCACCATTGCTATTTACCTACAATAAGAGATACTACAAAGCTTAAAAAACAAGACTTTACAGCTGCTTCACCCCACCCCCCACCCCCAAAAGAGATAATTGCACTTTTGGTCCCTCAATTATTTGTAAATTCTAGCTTTTGATCCCTGTAACATTTGGCTATGCACATTTGACCTTCAATTAACTCATAGATGTGTTTTTTGGTCCGTTTATATAGGAAAGTATGTGGTATTTCGGCTATTTTTAGATATATATTACCCTTAAATATGGAGTAAAAGTACAAAGTTAACATATAAAACATTGATAATTGAATGGTCTAACACTTACTAATTCGTTAAATTTCTGAAGATTCACAGTTGGAAGGATCAAAAGTGCACATATAAATTAATTAAAAGTTCTAATTTGCCAAACCCCACAAAAAGAATTCCAAGAAACTACCAAGACATGTTCAAGAACCTACCACAGCGGCAGCAGTATCATCACAGCTAGTTTCAATACCCAAAACAACTAAATTCTCATTTTCTCCCATTCTTTGTTTCTGGGTTTGAACCATTTGTAAATTAGAAGCTGAATTAGAAAAACAATGAGCTGGAAAAAATTTGAACAACTGGGTTTTTTTTACTGATTTGTTGCGAAATTGTAATTTATTTGTAGCTTTGATTGTAAGCTGAAGTGAGGGTCGATATAGTAGTAAGCTTAGACGGGAAATTGGGGATGACAAGCTTGGTAATAAAGACGCCATTTCTGAGAAAAAAGAGAGTAGAAAACGGAAAATGGATATGAGGGCTTAGTAAAACGAAGCCTCTTCGGTTAATCCTTCCAATATAATTTCAACTTGGTAAAAGTTTAAACTAACCCCTAAAGTTTGATAATTTCCACGATAGAGCCACATAGACAAACAAAAGGCCAAATTTAGTCCTAAGCTATCAAATTGGTTTATATATATGGGTGTGTTTGGTATAACGGAAAATTGTTTTCCTTGGAAAATAAGTAGTAATCTTATTCATTTTCCCGTGTTTGGTACGCAAATTAAGAAAAATGACTTCTTAAGAGTATTCATAAATAATTTAGATATAATAAACATGAAGCCATAAACTTTCAAACCAACAACCTTCCGAACCCACAAATTTCATAAACTTTCGAAATTGCGGAATTTCGAACTCCGTAAACTTTATAATTTCTAAACCCGTAAACTTCCAAACATATAAACCTCTGAACTCATAACTTTGGAACTTGTAAAATTTTGAACCTTTAAACTGATAAATAAAAAAATTAAAACTGAAAAATATATTTAAATACTTTTTTCGGGGGAGGGGCAGGGTGGGGGATGGGCAGAAAAACGAAAAAAAATAGAAATTTGAAATTTTAAAAAAAAAAATTGTGCGGGGGTTGCAGAAAAACAAAAAAACAGAAATTTAAAATTACAATAAATAAATAAATAATAATAAGGTAAAAAAATAATTTTTTGGGGGGAGGGGAGTGGGGGTAGAGAGGTAGTAGGGTGGGTGGTAACGGAAAAATTGAAATTTGAAAAAAAAAATCTTTTTTAGAGAGAGGGGGTGGAGTGGGTTGGTGAGGGTGGGGAAAATTGAGAAGTAGTTTTGGAAAATATTTTCCCTTCTCTTGATAAGGAAAACTTTTTTCTCCAATTGGAGAAAAATGAGTTCATAAGGAAAATGTTTTCCAAAACATTTAAGCCAATCAAACATGGAAAAATTGAAAAACATTTTCCAACCGTATATGTTCTTTTAATAATTCAAAGCATTCTTTTAACAACCGAAAAGGTCCAAATATACCACTAGTATTCACCTTATCCGACTAATCCAACAACAACGACGACGACGACCCAGTATAATCTCATAAGTGGGGTTTGGGGAGGGTAATATGTACGCAGACCTTACCCCTACCCCGAAGGGTAGAGAGGCTGTTTCCAGGAGACCCTCGGCTCAAAAAAAGCAACAGAAGCCAATATATTAGTACCATAAAAAATGCATAATACAATAACAGCAATAATCCGAGTGGCATATTAGAGACGAAAAATACTAGTGGAGGTTTTGATGAGCCGAAAATCAAACTATAAGACTAATCGCAAATGTTATGGATATATTAGGACCTTTTTTCTTTCGAATTTTATTTTGTGGAGAATACAAATGTAAGTATACTCTCCTATTTTTATACAAATTAAACTTCAATTTCCTTAGATTATTCAAATTTTAATATATTGTAATGTTTTTTCTATTAAACTAATTTTTCAGTATTTAGTTTAGTATTTTCTTCAATATTATTAGTATAATATACAAATCAAATACATTTTAAACTATGTGCTTATTCAAATATCTTCACATAAAACGGGACGAAAAAGACTAATCTTTTTAGAATAAAACCATATAAGAATTGAAACTTTAAATATGACAGCGTTAATATATCATCCAATTAGGCCGCTCGAAAGGTGTTTTAGTTATCAAATCAAACCTAAAACCGTTCCTACATTTGTAGTGTGTAACAAATTGTCATCCTTGTTGCTATGGTCTAACTAGCCCTTGTGAGCTGCGACTCAGTCTGTGTAGACTTGCTCACATTGTCGGTCCTAAGTCCGAAAAAAAAGGATGATTGCAGTAGGCTGACAGTCGACATAAAACTTGTCAATTCATATTGCCGGTCCTAAGTCCGAAAAAAAAGGATGATTGCAGTAGGCTGACAGTCGACATAAAACTTGTCAATTCATATTGCCGGTCCTAAGTCCGAAAAAAAAGGATGATTGCAGTAGGCTGACAGTCGACATAAAACTTGTCAATTCATGATGAATTCTCATTGTTGTTACCTATTGCTTTACTCTTGATATTTCCAATGAAAAAAATGGCTTTTCCAGCTAAACATAGGAACCAATTGGTTTTTCCAGGTTTAGACGAGTCAATTGGTTTTTCTATTGATGGATTAGTTCTTCAACAGCCTGAAATCATTCAAGGTAGAGACTACACAATTATTTTCATTTGATTCTCTTTGAAAAATAGGGGGAAGAATTTGATTGGCATGGTGTTGGTGTGCCTTGATAGGAGACAACTTTGCCTCTAATTCGAGCCTTAAAAATTGAGAAACTCCTAGTAGGGAGTGCTCCTCGTTTATAAGATCGTATACCACACGAATTTGAATTAGTTGGACCAGTAGGTTCTCCTAATAAGGAGCGCTTTTCATTTAATAGGTATGTCATGTGAATCCGAATTAGTTGGACCAGTCACTTCTCCTATTGGGGGAGTGCTTCCGAGTCCCGTTTAATAGACTGTATGCCACACGAATCTAAATTAGTTAGACCAAACAGTTCTAGATACTAGAGGATTAAACAAAAAAAGTTAATTGTTGTTGGGACAATTACATTTTAATATACTTCCTAGTTCTTATATCTACTGAAGCGCGCTTATAACCTTACAAAGCTCGTTATGAACAATTAGTAAAACCACGTGTTTTCTTTGCTGGCAATTCCAAGTGTACTCTCTCTACATATATATATATATATATATATATATATATATATATATATATATACACGTAGTTTTTTAGAGAATAAAATAGACATAGTTTATATCTTGAGTTATGTATCCTCCACAATTCAAAAATTAAAAGAAAAATAAAACCTTACCGCGTAGGGTTGAGATTAATCTTGATAAAAAAAATATTCTTTTAAACAGTATTATATTTTGATTAAATTAGGAACATGTTGATGTGAAAATTAATCTAATTTACATAAAATAGAAAGTAAATCTTACTCTGAAGTGGTAATTTTAATATTACATCATGATACTCTCCAATAAAGATAAGGAAAATATACTTAGAAAAAAAAAATTTAAGGGTAGAGTAATTCAAGAAGCCACTCGAAATCACGCACAGAGCAGTCGGTCACGAACAATTCTAATTCTTCTTCCGTATTTAAGATTTCGATGTAGTATGCACGGAAGAAATCCTTGAACCATGAAGAAGACAAGTACTCTTTTGGGACCTCGTATTTCTTCCATTCCAATTCTTCTTTCTTCGTATCTAAGGTTTCGATATCTTGTTGGAATTCATTCCTGAATAATGAAGAAGTCGAGTATTCTTTTGGGACTTCATATTCCTTCAATTCCAATTCTTCTTTCTTAATTTCGATGTCTTGTTCGAATGCATGGATGAAATCCTCGAACAATGAAGAATACACGTATTCTTTTGGAACCCCATAATTCAAACTCGATCTTCGTCGCGTACGTACACAAAAAAAGTTGACTTATTGCATGCCTTTTGCAACATCTTTGGACTAATGATTTTCTTCTTTTTCTTGAGACTTATGATGTTCTTCTTGATCTTGGTGTATCCATTGTGGTTGAACTTGTATGTCAGTAGGTGTTGAACCGTTGTACAGAAACCTAACAATTCCATTGATTGAACGTTGGAATCAATAGAGAGAAGGGAAATTATATATGAAGCTTTGACGTGAGAGAAAAGAGGGAGATGTTTAAGATTTTGGTTAGTGCATATAAGGCATATATAATGTGTATTAAATCCTAATCCTAAGATAAGTGGGATTTCGTAGCTAAAGAACCAAAAAATGAACAAAAAGAAAAAGTAACGACCCCCAAGTTCAATAGCTACGGGTTCCCGTGAACGCAGTAGCATTTATCTAGAACCTATATTTGTATTGAAAAATCTATGAAATGTATTGTATAATAATTCGAGATTTTTGTAGGAACTCATACACCCTAAAATCCTGGATCCGCCTATGTTTCACAGGACTTACCAGAAGCCCTAGCCCTGGAAATAGAAGTTCTTGCAAATACACAAATTAGACTAACTAGCAACCAACTACTGCCGTATAACAAAAGGAATACATAACAATCCTGGACGGCAAGGGATAACATTTTTGATGACTGTACCTTGGCAGTAGCAGCATCTATCACTTTCACATGAACTCTTTGAATTATAGTACCAAAGGGTACGACAATAACATACCCAATATAATCACATGAGTAGGATCTGGGAAGGGTAGTGTGCATACAAACCCTACCTTACCTTGTAAAGGTAGGGCGGCTATTTCCAATAGACACTCGAAAGCATGAACACAACAGTTTTGGAAAAGAAATACGGTGAAGAAGCCATGGAAAAGAGAAGCATTAAGCACAACCAAAAAATAAGATAACCAAAACAAAAGAAACAACAAATTGTAATAATTTTCTAAGAATAAGAAATACTAGACTACACTAGTACATTATGTGAGGAAATGCAATACAGGTATAAAAACAAAATACACTCGATTACTTACTAATCAACTACCCTAATCCTCGACCTCCACACCCTCCTATCAAAGGTCAGATTCGGTAAGCTGAAGATGTGTCATGTCTTGCCAAATCACTTGACCTTCCTATGGTACCAAAAGGAGTGGGAGGAATCAAGCAAAGATCTTGCACACCACTGTATTCTCTTAGTTTACAACACTATAAAGCCAGTTATATAAACCTGAAGCTGAATGATTCTCCTCCCAACTACAAAAGCACAGGTATAATATTAATTTCCACCTTTGGCCGCTCTTGCTCAAAAGGGAATTGACTTTTCCTTGTAACATCTTCCATGTAAACAATCCAAAAGTCCAACCCTCTCTCAACTTGAAATTCTCAACTACAGGATTAAAGGAACATGCCAACTTATGAAGCAACTATTTATACATGCCAATGTGCCATCCTTAACAACTCATAGAACACACTGAGCGACTTCCTTGAATCCAGTTTGACTTCTTTCTCATCCAGATGGCTGAAATTAGAAGATTCTATTGTATGATGAATTTTCGCTCGTACCTGGAATAGCACACAAACTCCTCCAGTGGGTTTGCTCCCATTGCCGGTCCCACGCCTGGATAAAAGAGGAGGGTTGCGGTAGGCTGGCAGCCAGTGTAAAACTTGTCAATTCATGACATGATGAATCCTCGTAATACTTGGAATAGCACAAAGCTTGAATTCCTACTCAAATGCTCCATTGAATTACACAAGCATGCTCAATAACTGTTTCAAACAACCATTTTCGCTAGATATTGAACCATTACCATTACAAAATATTTTCTTGTAATACAAACTAATGTCATCAAGATCAAAGCCCTTAGACATGTGCAGCGAATGATAAAATTGCATATTCATTGGAGGACACTCAAAAGTACAACAGTATTATACATTACAAACCAGTTAGATAAAGCTGAAGAAAATACTGTGAGTCCTAAAAATTAAATCTTTTGCTCATAAATGAGCCCTCACAGTGGATGACATAGAATTGCATATAATGCATGTTTTGCTCTGGCATTATGCACAGAATTCATCATTTGGAAATGAATTTAATCAGAGAGTTAACATCCCTTTCCCTTGGGCAACTTTGTCGTCATATGGAATGATAAGATAAGCAAAAAAAAAAAGCAAGTACTTAAACTGTATAGTAATTTCCATCACTAAAATTTAGCAGCAAGCAATTCTTTAGTAAGGCTCATGCTTACTAAATTGACATTCAAAGTAAGGCTCATGCTTATTAAAAATGAAATTTGTTGATGGAAAAAGCAAGATCATCCTATTTCAGCTAATCCTCCTTCATACACATGCAGAAAAGTGGAGACAAACACTAAACTTTTCTTTCAAGAAAGATAGTAATAGCAAGGTAATAACTACAGGCAATTCATGAATCCGAAAACATATATCATACAAGATAAGAATCTCCAATCTACATGAAGGAAAAATAAACTTTTTTTAAAATAAGTAATCTACATGTAGAAATAAAGCAGTGCAGAAATAGTTGATCAAGCCCACAAACTATCAATGACCAAGGTTGGGAATACATTGACGTGGCTAGAGAACAAGGAACAATTCTTTAAAGCAATCGATATTTTTAAAACTAGTAACTACGCTAACTAATGAAAGAATTCATTAACTGTTGAAATCACTGTCGATATTGACGTTAAAAGAGTTACATACAATTTGATTGTGTAATATGCTGTACTCTCACTACCTCATCTCACCTTCCTAATTTAAAAGGAACCAGAATACAAAGAAAAACAACAAAAAGAAAACCATAAAATCAGTGCTTTACATACATTTCATAGGACTAACAGAACTCCCTAGAAACAGAAATTCTAAGCAAGCAAATACACAAATTAGACTAACCAGTGACCACTTACTAGCGATAATAACAAAGAACATCCATACCAGCCCTGGCCAGCAAGGCCGCCGACGAGACAAGATGGCTTATCCCTTGGCAACGGCAGCATCTATCACTTTGACAAGAATTCTTTGAAGTCATTACCAAAGGGAGTTAGCTGTCAAATGGAGCACTCTGAATCTTTTGGTGTAAGTTAGATGAACTAAAGCACAACAAAGCAAAGAAACTCGCAAACCACTGTACAGATCTCTTTGTTCACACTATTCCGTGCATTTTAAGCCAGTTAAATAAACCTGTGTCTGAATAATTGTCCTCCCAATTTTAAATCCAGGTACCACGGTAAATCCCACCTTTGGCCTCGTCTTGCTCAAAGGGAATCGACTTTTCCTTGAAACATCATCCATGTACACCATCGAAAAGTCAACCCCTCTCTCGACTTGGAATATCTCGACTACAGGATTAAACGAAAACGCCAACTTATGAAGCAACCATATCGCACTTGCCATCCTCACAAACAACTCGTAAAACACACTTAAGGACTTCCACGAATCCACTATGACTTCTTTCCCATCCAAATTTCTAAAAATCGACGATTCTATTGTAGGATGAATAATCTGCTCGTACTTCTTCTCACAAAATCTTGAAAACGCAGAATTAGGATTCTTACTCAAAACCTCCATCGGATTACACGAAACATGCTCAAGTAATTGTTTCAAACAATCATTTTCACCAGACATTAAACCATCCTCATTACACAACATTTCTTCATCAGATAAACCAAAATCTTCAAGATCAAAGCCCTTAAACATGCCCAAACAAATATATGAACTAAATGCATATTTAAAGTGTCCTTTTTCAGCATAATTAACATCAGAATACACAGAATTTGCTGCTTTCTCCAAATCCCAACCTGCTCTTTTCATTAACTCCATTAACAACTTACAAAATTTATTCACTAACTTAATTGAATCGCGTAACATAGATTCAAATACAGTAACTGTACACAATACCTCCACACTGGTATTCTCCAAATTTTTATTTTTAACCCCTAATTTTTTTGACAAATTGGAATTAAAAAGTTCCAATTTTTCCAGTTTTTTCCTCAAAATCAAAACTTCATCATCTTTAGAATCCATAAAAGACATTAACTGATTTACCATAGTCTCCAAAACTCTGAGCTTGCTCTGATTCTCTTGAACCTGAAATTCCAATTCTGACCCTACAAGATCATCAAAATTAGAACTTGGGTTTTTCCTAAAATCCCTATACAAATTCTTCATTTCAGTCAATTTCTGAAGAACTGATACCAAAACTTTATCAGCCGACTCGATAGCTTTTTCGTCGAACGGCACGTGAGCTGTTTGCAACTGAAGATAAGAAGCTTCAAATGACGAAATTGTAGCAAAAAGTGAAGAAATTAGGGATTTAGTAAAATGGGTATTTTCATTTTCTGGGAATTTACAGAAATCGGGTTTTATAACAACAACTTTTTGATTAGGGATAAATTCCTCAGCGGAACTGAAGAGAGTGAAGACATCAGTGGAGTTGGAGGTGTTTTCGTCGTCGGTTTCATCGGCGAAGAGTTCGAAGGTTTTGGTACGGACAACATGAGCGAATTTGTGAAACATATCAGAAATTTGTGGAGGTTTTGTTGTTCCTTCCATTTCTACTGGCATTATGAAAACATAGAGTGTTGTTACAGAGAATCAAATACTTGGGTTGTGAATTGAGAGGAGAAAATTGAAGGAGAGAGAGAGAGAGAGATTGGGTGAGTGTGAAGAGAGAGAGGATGCTTTGCTTTGGGAAGACTTAGAAGGAAGGTATGTGTGTGAAAGCTTGTTTCTCTTCTATGTTTGTGATGGTGTGCTTTTGGTGTTTATGGCAAATCATATTAATTTTGTCATATTTAAATTACTTTAATGGATAAAATATATTTTAATTAACTAGTATGATTCATAAGACTACACGTGAGTTGGTATATATATATACACGAGTCGAGGATCTATTAGAAATAGTATTTTTACATCACATAAGCAACGTCCATTTCCAATCAAAAGGTTGTGAGTTCGAGTCTCCCCAATAGCAAGGTGGGAAGTATGTCGGGGGTCTATTTGGAAATAGTCTCTCTACCCCAGGGTAGGGGTAAGGTCTGCGTACACACTACCCTCCTCAGACCCCACTAAGTGAGATTATACTGGGTTGTTGTTGTTGTTGTTGTTGTTGTGTACCTCACATAAGGTAGAGATAAAGTCTGTATACATTCGACTCTTACCAGATCTCACTCGTGAGATCACATTGAATATATTATTATTGTTATTGTTGTTGTTGCGAGTAAATTTTTACAGCATACTTGTGGAGTTTTTTTTCTTTCATTTCATATTTTTATTTTTCTTTTTCCTAATTTGGAGCAAGATATATATTGATCAATTATGCTTTTCTCAACCACTCACCATGAACATGGTGGAATGAGTGAATTTTTTTTTTCTTTCATCGAATATTTTGGGCTTGAAAGGGAGTCTTGGCGTAACTGGTAAAGTTGTTTCCATGTGATCAGGAGGTCACGCTTTCGAGCCGTGAAAATGGTATCTTGTAAAAATATACGGTAACATTGCGTATAATAGACTCTTGTGGTCCGACTCTTCCCTAGACCCGCGTATAACGTGAGCTTAGTGCACCGAACTGCCCTTAAATATTTTGGGTTTGAGCTTTGAAAATGAACTTTTTTCTCAAGTGTTTCTTCCTTAACAAGTTCTACGCGATGCTAATTTAAATTNCCCCAACACCCAGAAAAACAATCGGTTTCTAGCGTGAGTTAAATTAAAGTCACCAAATTATATTTTCTAATAGCTCAAACTAAAATTACAAAAACCTATTGAGTTATTCATCTTTGCATTATGAGTTAATTTAATAATCACCAAATTATCTTTTCTAATAGCTCAAACTAAAATTATAAAAACCTATTAAGTTATTCATCTTTGCATTATTTGATGTATCATCACATGATCGACGTATAATTTCTCGAAAATTATGTCATTCGTCTTTCTTAACTTTTGATTAAGAAAATAATAACCTTCAACATTTTAAAGGTAAAAAGATTCCTCCTCCTACTTCAAAATCAATCTGCAAAATGAATTTAACCTTTGACAAAATTCAAAAGTATTTGTCTTAGATATTAGTGTTTGAACAAATACTCTCTCCGTTTCAATTTACGTGAACTCATCTAACTGGCTACGGAGTTTTAGAAAAGAGAGAAGACTTTTGAACTTGTGGTGTAAAATGAGACACATATATTTTGTGTGGCTATAAATCATTACATAAAAATAAATTATTTCTAAATAAGGAAAGAGGTTATTTTTTTTGGTACGGACCAAAAAGTAATAAGTTCACGTAAATTGAAACGGATGAATTATTATATTAGCAAATTGTTTTCTTTTGTGTTTTTGTGAAAGTAGCAAGTGGACTTTTGGGTCCCGAGGAGGGATTATGATTAACGGTAATAAAGAGGGATGGATAAAGTGACAAGGAGGTTATGGTCTTTCATACTTGAAAAGCTCACTGCTCAGTGGCCGACCGAATGACCAGTTAAATATTTTTTAAATAAGAAATTTACTGAAAATTAATCATTAGGATTCCATATTGTTATTTTTCCTAAATTATTATTTTCTACTTTTTTCCCCTTCTTACCCTGACAATTGAATATTATTTTGATTTAGTACATGATCTAGTTTTGTACGATATTAATTGGTTTAAATATAACATGTTTGAGTGAAATTCGTTTTCTACTAATCATCTAGTGTTTAATGCATAGTTTCTTGGAAACTTCTAAAATAGTTTTTTTTGGTTTCTCACCAGGGCTCCGGTATCCGCACCGGAGCCCGATTATATTCGGATTCGCGCTGCGTAGGGCCCCATTCGGGGAATTCCCTACCAAAGATTTTTCCATACCCAGGGCTCGAAGCCGAGACCTCTGGTTAAGGGAGGAGCAGTCTCATCCTTTGGTGGTTCTAAAATAGTTACTTATGCTGAGCTTCGCATGTAACACTAATAGTCTGTTTGGCCAAGCTGCAAAATCAGTTTTATCCACTGCATCACATCCTTTGGTGGTTCTAAAATAGTTACTTATGTTGAGCTTCGCATGCAACACTAATAGTCTGTTTGGCCAAGCTGCAAAAATCAGCTTATTTTAAAAAATATTTTTTCAAAAGTATTTTTTAGTGAGAAGCAGTTTGTCTTTGGCTAATTAATTTGAAAAGCATTTCTGAGCAGGAATTAATGTTTGGCCAAATTTTTAAAAACTATTTTTAAGTGTATTTTTCTCAAAAACGCTTTTCAAAAAAGTATTTTTGGAGAGAAGTTACTTTTTTTGCTTCTTCCAAAACTGCTTCTGCTTCTACTCAAAAACACATTTTTTTTTTCTTCTAAAAGCTTGGCCAAACACTTCAACTTTAGAAAAAAGTATTTTTTTTCTAAGAAAAATTGCTTTTGGCTTTGGAGAAACTTGTCCGAACAGGCTATAAAAAAGGACAGCCCTATGCATAGTTATTCTACATTCACGTAGGTTTCGGAAAAAAGTCGCACTTCAAAAGAGGTGATGTAGAGTGTAGACAATCTAATCTAGCTACTCCAAAGAGCATGGGCGGATCTAGGGTGGCGAATGAGGATTTATCTGAACCCCCTTATCTGAAAAATCACACTATATATAAGGCCAAAAATATTTTCTATGTATATATAGTAGAGGTTGAATCTCATTAGCTTCTCTTAATGCTCATTTCTATATATTTTGAATCTTCTTGGTGAAAATCCTAGCTCCGATACTGCCAATGAGGCTGAGTGATGCACTTGATTGAATAATGTTGAGTTATTTACCTAGAGGAATAGAGATCGATTATCACTTAATACTTTTGTTTTTAATTTCTCCTTTCATTAGTTGTGCACCCATGTCTCAGAAATCCTACGTCCTTCTCTGTGTACAAAAATACGCAAAGAGCATAAAGCATATTATTATTATTATTATTGGGTGGG